GGGAATAGTAGACAAAATGTATCTATAGGGGCTGTCACCAGGAAAAAACAGATGTCTTTGGTTGGCAGTGTGGCCACTCTACATAATATTTTTAATAGAATTGCATATATATAGGGGACTAAATATTTTTAAAACTATTACACATGTTAATTGATCTCTGAGATTTTGTACTGTGCTTATAGTGAATTGTTATTTTGGACCAAGAGAGCTCTATATTGATACCAGTCATTTTCACGTATTTCAGAATCATGGAGATATTCTTTACGTTTTTTGTGTGTTGTCTATATAATCGGGATGCTGTCCTTGCTTGGTATAGAGTTCAATTCAACCCAGTCCCTCCCTCTCCAAATAACTTACAGTCTAGCAGATGGGATATAAGTACATCAATAACTATGAAACAAGAAAATAAATATTTTATTTCTGTAAACACTGGAATTCTACCATCGTCTAATGTCTAATCAGGTTTCTTTGGCCTTTCTCTTTTATCAAGGAAGAAACAAGATAATTCACTGAGATTTGAGTCCTTGCCCACCCACATGCATAATGAATGTTATGAATTAACCCATTTCTTTACTGATTCAGCAAATATTTATTGAGTCTATTTGATGTACCAAGTTCTGTTTTTGTCTCTGAGAATACAGAGATGAGTAAGACCAGGCTATTTTCATTAAGGATGTCACAGACCACTGGAGAGAAGTAATAGTTAATAAGATACAATATGAGAAATTTTACTATCTAGATATGTACAAGGCACTATTTGAACACAGAACAAGGAAGAACAAACTAGGGTACTTAGTCAGGAAAGGTTCTTAGTTACAAAGAATATAAAAGACATCCAGATAGAAAAAAATGGTATAAAAATTTTTCTAAGAAATGTATAGATTACTTATGTAATTATGAATGAAAATATTGTTTGAAGTGTTTGAACATGTGAAAGGAATCCTAGGCATTTTTTTTTAAAGTGCCGCTTATCTGCAAAAAGACAAGACAAAATGTAGAATTATCTTACTAAGACTATAGGAAAGATAGAAGACCTGATACGTTCAGCAGGATATACTAAATGAAAATTATTTATACATATTTGCATTATTAATTATGTCACATACAATAGCATTATTGGCTTCTTAAAATAAGTATAGTAATTTTTGACACTATAAAGTGATTTTAAAGAAGTAAAACTTACTTAATAAATAGGTTTATAAAAATCATTCCAATTAGTGTCTCACCTTGGAAAGCTATCCTTTATTTAAGATTGAAGAGTTCTGATAGTTATATTCAATTTATTAAACAAATATGTATTAAGCATCTACTATGTGCCAGGCACTGGTCTAAGCACCGGAAATACAGCAGTGAACAAAACAGATGAAAATCTGTGTCCTCTAAGAAATAAACTTACTTTTTTATAAGGGGAGCTAGTTAAAGAAATCAATTATAAAATATGATATGTCAGATCATACTATACTATGGCGAAAAACAGGGCAAGAAATGGTGTTAGATGGGTTAGAGGAGGTGAGTGAGTTGATATTTTAAAGCGTGGTCATTGGTAAGGCAATATTTGAAAGGAGCCCTGACGACGTAGGTAAGGAAGCAAGCCATGTGGACACCTAGAGGAAGAGAACCCAGGCAAAGGGAACAGCAGTGCGGAAGTCTTGAGGTGAAAGTGTGCTTCTTAGGTTGAAGGAACAGTCAGGAGCCAGTGTGGCTGGGGCTGTGGGGAGGGGGTAGGACAGCAGTTCACAATAGGGCTGGGGCCGGGTTCTGGAGTCCTTACTGGCCTGGGAAAGGTGTGGCTCTGACTCTAAATGAGATGGCAGTGTTTGGAAGAGGGTTTTGAGCTAAGAGGCGTGATCTGACCAAAAGTATGATTCTCACTCCTGTGTTAAGGCTAGGTGCTAGAGGACGAGGATGGAGGTGGGAGACTAGTTAAAAGGTTTCTGCAGTATTTGGGGTGGCTTGGACCAAGGTGGTGGTGGAAGTGTGAGAAGCAGTTAAATGATAGATATAGGGAAACATCTAAAACCTGATCATTACCAGTCAAGCATTGCTCCCTATGCTTTGTCAGTAAGCTCCATTTGAAGTATCTCACCCTGACTAAACCTTCCTAACTAGCACTTCTTCCACTTCTTCTGGCACCTCAACTCCAACACATTTTTTATTTTATTTTTTACTTTATAAGCTCCAGTTCATTTATCCTACTACCTTTTCATTGTCCTTCCTGGCTTCATTTCCTTCCCTTTTCAGCTTAGATTCTATGGTTCCGTTTAAATTTCTTGAATGGACACTTAGTTTCCACATATTTCTTTTTTTGTGTGTTTGTTGACCTCACCCTGCAAAACCACGAACCTCATTAACTACAACTCTGCCTACTCCATGCCTGGAACCGGACAGCTAAACCTCTCTGGAGAAACACACACAGACATGCTCCCTGGCCTCCTTCACTGGCCCCACAAACATGTTTACTGGCTTCTCCTTGGTGAATTTGTTTCTGAGGCAAACCCTTCCATTTATATACAATATCATTCCATTCTCACATAGTCAAGATGTTGCTCTAGCAAGCATTTCATGTCTCTCAAAAATCAAACAAACATTATGGTATATACCCATCTTTAAAAAAAAACCCCTTTTACCTTATTCACTTCTCTAGCTACCACCCTATTTCTTGGCTGGCCCTTACAGCAATACTTTCTAAGAGTTGCCTGTTCTCATTGTTGACACTCCCTCTCCTCCCATTCTTATTTAATCTCACTGCATTAGGCTTCAGTGTCCATCACTCCCTGAGACAGCTGCTGTCAGGGCTACCAGTGACTTCCAAGCTGCTAAACCCAATGACCACTTCCCAGTCCTCATTTGATTTGACTGTCAGCAACACCTGACGGGGTGATCACTCCCTCCATCTTGAAGTTCTTTATTTCTTTGGTTGCAAAGATACCTGGTTTCACTGGTTTATTCCCACCTCGTTGGCCCAACTTTCTCAGTCTTCTTTGATGATACCTCTCATCTTCCTAACCTGTATTGGAGTTCCTTGGTTCTCTTTTCTCTAAGCTCACTTTTAGATGACTTTGTTAAGGCTCATGATTTTAAATATCAGCCATACCCTGATGACCCCTAAATGTATAGTTCCAGCCCCAACTTCTACAGAACTCCTCACAAACATATCCAACAGTCTCTGGTCATTCTTCTTTTGAATGATGTCCAAAGCTTCATGTGTCCAAAACCAGAGACCTGGTTTGCTCCCCGTAACTATGTCTGTCTTGCATTTCTCTTTAGTAAATGGCATTTCTAAACTTTCAGTTGCTCAGGTTAATAATTTAAGAGTAATCCCTAACTCCTCTTTTTCTCTCATGCCCCAGATCCAATCTGTGAACAAATCATGCCAGTTTTACCTTCAAGAACCGGCACTTCTTAAAACATATGCTAATGTTTCTAAATGACTAGAATAATTTTGGTTTGAAACACATTTAGATTTTTAGAAACACCTACAAGTCACAACAAGTTTCATGACTATAGTTTGTAATAAATATCTGTATAATTCATATTTAGTCAGAAATAAAAGGTAGATAAAAACAGGAAATGGTTTTCTTGAGTGATTTATAAATATTTCTGAAAGTCAATTCCAAAATAATAGTTTAAAAAATGATTTGCTCTAGAGCAGCATCAATTGAATAAATATTTAATTTACCAAATTATCACTTACAAGGATGATGCTTATTTGGTTTTTATAGGTTCTGGATTATTGTTTAAAATTCATCTCTATTGTTTATAATCACAATTTGAATTAACATCCCATGAATAATACAAAGTCTTATTTATGGCTCTGTAATGTTGATAAGAATACTGACTCTGGAACCAAGCTGCTTGAGTTCAATACTGGCTCTATCATTTTCTAGCTCTGTTATCACAGACAGGTTCCTTAAATGCTGTGTGCCTCAGTTTCTCCAAATGTGAAATGGGGATAATAAGAGTGCCTACCCCAGGTTTTCTTAGCTGGTCCATATGAGATCATGTATGTAAGTGATTAGGACAGCACCTGGCACCGAGTAAGAGATAGAAAGTGTGATAGGAATAAAAGAATTATATGGACATTCTTACTAGAAACCCTCGAGGATTGTGACACATAAATAGAATAACTAGGTTAAAGACATTACAAGTTTTCAGGAATTGTTTAAGATAACCATAAAATAGAGAATGAAGGCAATATATATATATATATATATATATATATATATATATATATATATATATATATATATATATATATCTAAGTTACCTACAAAGTGAGAGAACTAGCCAACAAATGCCATAACATTCAAATGAGAGAGAAAGATTACTTCTGCCAATAGTGGTTTATAATCTACGGTGAGATTTTTGTTTTTTAAATGTCCAGTTTCAATTACCAGGAAACTGAGATAGGTACCCATCAAGTACCAATCTTGACATATGAATGTGCAGAAGCATAGGACTTCAGTTCAAACTCCTACTGTAGAGCTTTGATTAGATGCCATAAGAGAAACTCTTCTAAAATATAGATACCTATTTATGTGTATATAGGAAGCTGCCACGTTATATTGGTACCACACCCACTGGACTATTGCACAGTTGATCAAGTTGTTTTATATGTGAATGTAGTTTAAATTTGTTATAGGGATTATCAATTATATATTACCGGGCTTTTCTTTTTCCTAGCATAATTATGCATGTGCAGAAGATATAAATTTAACCAACAAATATTCATTGAGCACTTACTCTGAACAAGACACAGTCTTCTCATACGAAGAACATATGTATTTCCAAATCAAAGTATAAGATTGATGTAGTAATAGCTGCTACTTGTAATTTCATTATTTATGCCCTTCAAATAGACATGTATTCCTGAAATGTAATTAATTACCATTAACCCCAAAACTGTGAAGCTATGTGTACAACTGGACAAAGTAATTTCAAAGTTTATTTTCAGAAAAGGGGAAACTATCTAAAACCCTTTTCCCCCTTTTTCCCTCTAGTTGGCCCGCCACAACAAATTATTACAGCAGATGCTCAAACCAGGATCAGATCCAGATGATGGGGATGAAGCCTTGAAGTATTATGCCAACCACACCGCACAGATTGAGGTAACCCTCTATTATTTCTTGAAAGGAACCAACTGTGAAAAGATATGTTTACTTTCTATTTCAGACTGTTTTCATAATTGTTTCCTAGAACGAGGCAGAATTGAGTGATTTAAACTGTAAAAGTATATACTGAAAGATGCGATGTGAGACTGTAACTGTAAAAAACTGAGGTGCACATTTTTCAAAATTATCTTTAATTTTTTACCAGAACTATAAAATATGTAAGTTTTATTATGTAATTAATAAGGTCATTTTTATTTTTTTATTTTTATTTTTTGGTCATAGACGCAATCATTGCAGAGCAATGATGTTTTAGAGAAAAGATTATTATAATAGAGCTGTCATTCAAGAAAAGATTCCTTTTTAAAAAATTATAGAAGGCTTATTAAAACAGAGATCTCTGTGTAAGAAAGTATTCAAAAGTGTAGGAGACATGGAAGGCACTAATAAAGCCTTCTTGTCGATAACATAAACTTGGAATGATTTAGCAGTTTCCATTTTCAGTACACAGCCATTGACCTCCTCCACATGAGATATTCTTTAATGGCCCATGACAGTTCAGGAGGTGTGGGTCAACATAGACTTCTCATTCTGTGTTGTGAGACCCATCTGGCTTTCATTTACTAGCTCTAGTATCATTTTGACACTAGTTGGCAGAGCTAATCAGGCAGAAGTGAGTAGAGTAGTTGACGCATGTCACTAGTAATTTACATTCATACATTTATTCACTTTGGCAGATGTATTTTAGTTTTCAGCAGAGTGCATGATGGAAGTCACTGCTATTAATTTTCAAGATACATAATCACGATACCTTATTGTTTACTCTTGCCAAACCTTTGGAATAATGAGCATCATTACCTTGTTTCACAAAATGGACCCGTTGCTAACATTTATAAACACTACTAGTACTCTAGTTTTCATGGGAGACTTGCCCTAATGGAGTCCATGAGCTGGACCAGCAGCAAAAGCATTGCTTACTACACCAGGTGCTTAGGAACTGGGAGGCTGGCAAAGTCAGGAAGCTGGAGAAATTAATGCAAATAGTTCATCAAACACCAAGGTTCTGAGGACGGTTCCAGAAGCCAAAGTACAGAGCTAGGTGATTTAGAAGCGATCAGGAAGAGCTGGTAGAGCGGGGAAGCCAGAGGTCAGGATTGGGTCAACACCTGTGTGAGAGAGATGGGGCTGTTGTTGAAGTTGGACTTCTATTGATTTCCCAGCAGTGAGGAAAGATTTAGCTGTAAATACATAAATTCAGTAAATGTCTACTGAGCATTTACGCTCTACCAGTTACATACACATACAACATAGAAGATAATTCTGTGTAGTAAATGTATACACAAAGGGCCAAGGAAATGTAGAGAAAACAGCAATTAACTATGCCAGGGGGACTTCCAGATGAATTTCACAGAGAAGGTCTCCTTAAAGAATATATTAAAAATTGAGACGTTTCTGTCTACTAAAGACCAGGCATGGGATTTCAGGTAGAAGCAAATGAAGGGAAGGTGTGACAGAATATAGGAGGGGGATGACTCTATTCAAATGATTACTCTAATTGCTGTTTGGAGAAAGAATTGGACAAGGGAATGGTTCAGGGAATGCCTGTGGGTCAGATAGGGGGATATAATAATAAAAAAGGTGAGAGATAGTGGTATTGAAGATGACTAGACTGGAGAAAAATATACATATACATGATGTTGGATTCCACATGTAACGTTGGGGCAATGGTGTGGAAAGCGATGTTCCCTGTGATTCTGGTTTCAGAAAATAGAATTGGAGTTATGCAAAGGGATCGTAGCTTTGGCAGTTAAAAGGTAGGGGAAGAGCATTGGTTGATTCTTGAATAAATTTGAATTTGAGGTGACTTTGAGGCATCTATGAAGTTGGATATAGAAACCAAGGGCTCAAGGGAGGGGCCTGGGTTTATGATCTAAACTCTTCATGTTGACCATATCTCAAGCTCATTCAAAGACCACCTCATAGGACCTACTCAGGAGAGACCTCCCCTCTTTTTTTCACACATTCATTAATTTCATCCCAATATGCTCCTACAGCAGTTTGATCATTTTGTTAGTTTAATGTATCATCTTGGGATATTGTTAGCTTCTCATGTGTCACTTGTTCCCCACCTGATGCAGGGACTGGTCTTGATAATCTTTGTATTTCCAAAATTGAACACTGCTTGGAACATAACTGCAATAACGAATATTGTTGAAACTAATAGTTTATTTATAAGTTATAGACTCGAAGATCCTAGGATATAGGAAGGACCTTGTGGATTACCTGGTCTACTCACCTATCCAAGGAGGAATTGTTCTATAATAGTCCTGCTCCTGCTTTACATTTTCCCTTATGATAGAGACCTCACTACTTCAGGAGGAAACTGATCCAATTTGAAACAACTCTAATAATTAGAAAAAAAATTTTTTTGTTGGAGTGCATGCTAGCCCACTTTAATGTTTACCCACTGTTCAGAGCATTTGCTCCCCTGTCGACGTAATAGCTTGGCTCTAACATTTGAAGAACCACCATGATTACTAACTACAAGCTCATAGATCAGAGTTCATGTTGCTTTTCACTTTGAATTCCCCCGAGTTCCCCAATTAAGGACTGAATAAGCATTTGATGAATAAATGTATTGAAAAAATTATCTATCTTTGGCTTTTGACAATGAACACATTCCCCTCTCCTTCTGTAATCCCTCCAGCTTGTCAATGCCCCTTGTAAAATGTGACAACAACCAGAATCAAACATAATATATCATAAAATGGCTGAATAGCTTGGCTTATAATAATCAAGACACTATTTCTTAAATGTACCCTGAGATTTTGTAAACGTTTGACTTTGCTGGATCATGTAAACCTTTTCTTCCCGCCATCCCTGGCCACATAATTGTCTACCATACCAAATAGGTCCAGTTCTTCTTTTGTACAATTGGCTCTTTTTATTTTTAAGTTTATTGGAGTGACAATGGTTATTAAAGCTACATAGGTTTCAGGTGTGCAATTCTGTAATACATCATCTATATATTACATTGTGTGTTCACCACCCAGAGTCAGTTCTCCTTCCATCACCATATATTTGATCCCATTTACCCTCATCTTGCACTCCCCTCTATCCCTACCCTCTGACAACCACTAAACTATTGTCTGTGTCTATGAGTTTTTGTTTCTTTATTTGTTTGTCTTGTTCCTTTGTTGCTTTCAGTTTTATAGCCCATATATCAGTGAAATCATATGGTTCTCGACTTTTTCTGTCTGACTTATTTCGCTTAGCATAATAATCTCAAGATCCATCCATGTTGTCACAAATGGCACTATTTCTTCTTTTCTTACAGCAGAATAGTATTTCATTGTGTATATATACCACATCTTCTTTATCCAATCATCTATGGAGGATGCTTTGGTTGTTTCCATGTCTTGGCCACCATAAATAAAGCTACAATGAGCACCTGAGCACATATATCTTTATGGATAAATGTTTTCAGATTGTTTTTAGTAGATACCCAAGAGAGAGATTGCTGGGTCATATGGTAATTCTATTCTTAATTTTTTGAGGAACCTCCACACTGCCTTCCATAGCGGCTACACCAATCTGCATTCCCACCAACAGTGTATGAGGGTTCCTTTTTCTCCACAGCCTCTCCAACACTTATTATTTGTCTTGTTGATGATAGCCATTCTAACTGGTGTGAGTTGATATCTCATTGTGGTTTTTATTTGCATTTTTCTGATGATTAGCGATATTGAGCATTTTTTCATATATCTATTGGCCATTTCTATGTTCTCTTTGGAGAAATGTCTGTTCAGGTCCTCTGCCCATTTTTTAATTGGATTTTTTTTTCTTGTTGAGTTGTATGAGTTCCTTAAAAATATGGAACGCTTCACGAATTTGTATGTCATCCTTGTGCAGGGCCCATGCTAATCTCCTCTATGTCGTTCCAATTTTAGTATATATGCTGCTGAAGCAAGCACACAATAGGCTTTTTTTTAAACTATGTTCAGGAATTTTTACTTACCACTACTAAATTTCATCTTGTTTGTTTTGTGATTGTATTCTACTATGTAGTTTGCATTTATAGTATATCACTAAGGATAGCTTCAGTTACAAATAACAGAATACTAGACTGACTGTTGTTTAAACAATAAAAATATTTGATTATCCCATATAATGAGAAGTCTAAAGATACCAGTAGTTCTGTAATTGATTCAGTGATTCAATGATGTCTTCAAATATGCAGGCCTTTTCCTTCTTTCTGCGAGGTCTTTTTTATTATGCTGGTGATATCTCACCTCATGGTGGCAAAATGACTGCCAACGTTCAGGCATCATTCCCTTACACTGCCTTTTGTTCTAAGCAGGAAGAAAGAGGATATGGGCCAACAGTACTTTCATGTTAGGTGTTTGTTTTTTTGTTGTTGCTGTTGGGATTACTTTGTTTGTCTCGTGGCTTTCTGCCTTTTCAGGGAGCAAAATCTTTCCTGGAAGCTACTCCGCCCCCCCCAGGTATTTCTCCTTGCAACTCATTTTCCAGAACTAGGTCACATGCTCAACAACATACCAGTCAATGGCAAAGGGAAGTCAACGACTCCTGGCTTAGGCCAGCCCTGATTCGTTCTTGAGGACTGGGCCGACTACATAATTATGATCCTTGAGATGCAGTCAACGCAAATCCTTGTTATATAGTAAAACTGTACGAAAATATTCAGCCTTTTTTAAAAAAAAATCTAAAGTGAAACTGTCACAAATACCAAATAAGAGAAGTTCAAAATAATGATTATTTATATCTAGGTATAGGCTAGAATGAATAATATTCCTACCAAAATTATGTTTTGCCATGAATAAAAAAAACGTTTTAATGAAATAAAGCACCTTTTTTTGTAGAGCCTAAGGTTCATCATATGGAGTATGCTATGTCATTTGTTTCTTAACAGCCCTCTGTAGGAAGAATAAGATACAAATACACCAAGTGCTGTGTTTAAGGTGACATAGCCATTAACACCCTCTTAGTTCCCTGTTGTACTTCATGAAAATATAAATGGGTGGCAAAAATTTAATGCTAATTCAGAAAGAATAAAGATTTTGGGTTTTGTTATTTATAACAAAGTATAGTATTTATGATACATTTGTCAGTTAATTTCTCTTATTTAAAGAGAAAAATGTAAAGCAGAACAGTAAAGGACTATTTTAGATACTTCCAAGCTGGCATATTTTTCATAAAATATATGAATTCATAAAACATCATTAATAAACTCATGCTAAAACAATAGTCTAAGACTGAGGTGTCTCAAGGCTGAAACACATGTAAATTAATATTTTCAGATTGTTCGGCATGATAGGACCATGGAGCAAATCGTTTTTCCTGTCCCCAATATATGTGAATACCTTACGCGAGAGTCTAAGAGCCGCGTGTTCAATACGACTGAAAGGGATGAACAAGGAAGTAAGGTGAATGACTTTTTCCAGCAAACAGAAGACCTCTACAATGAAATGAAGTGGCAGAAGAAAATCAGGAGTAAGTACAATAAACTAAGATGGTGAGTTTTGAGCATAATGGTAGATAAATTGATGCTTCGGGACACATGACAGCATTCCTTTAAATTGGATTTTAATTTCTTGCCATATGATGTTACTGAAATCACTCACAGGCTTAAGAATATAAGCTCAGTGTACAACTAGAGCCGAGACACCTGCGGCTTAATGGAAACAGAAGACTCTGACTAATTAGATCATCTTTTCGTGCTGATCCTATCGTTTTATAAATATTATGAAATACAAGGTTACAGCTGTATGTTTCAACTGTGGAACAGCTGCAGGTTTGAAGTCCCTGAATAGGCTCTGACTGGCCTTAACAGTCAGGGAGTGATGGAGAGAGGTTGGCAGCAGCATTCATCCTCTGTTGTCTTGCAATCTTATGATGGAGTAGGTTGTTTGATGTTTTTCTGAAAGTCATTCTTCCTTTCCACATATCTTTACATTGCCAAATCAAACTAAAAAAAAAAATGTGACACTGGTATTCAAATAGAGAAATGTTATAATTTTCAGGCTAAAAATGAGTATGATACAGTTCCCCTCACTTATTTCTGTCTCAAGATTATTTGGAAATACTCAATTTAAAAATTGTAAAAGTTTAAAGTTTAAAATAAACTTTAATTTTCCCAGATAAAGAATAACAAGATCTTTTAACAAAAATTGATAGGAAACTCTTGATTACTAGGTCTTTTCTGTCTTTTGGGGACATTTTCCAGACGAGCAGGTGTATGTTCTCAATACCCCTATTCAACAGTGCTTCATCAGTCTAGTTGTCTAGGAACTTTAATGATTGTGGTTTATGAATTTGAGTGGAGCTTGAGACACACCATCTTTGAATATAAGATAGTGGTATGCTTTGTCAGGCTTTTGTATCACAATATTTGAAAAAAAATAAAGAAACTATGCTCTCTGAGCATTTTACCATATAGGACCTCATAGAATTCAGAGAAAATTTTGTGTGTCCAGAATACATATGAAGAAGACATAACATTTTTATTTGGAACATTTGAAAAAAACATACATTTTTATCCTTGATAGAAGGTGAATTGAATAATGAACTAGAGCTTGTGGGGTCTGTGTTTTTGGATAAATATTTCATCATTTATCAAAAAACAAATCTTAAAATAACTTCCAATGTACATTTTACTTATAAAAATTGGAAACCACTTATTTTGAGATTATAGACAGAATCTAATTCACTTGATGGATTTGTTACAACCAATCTATGCATCAACATCTGATTTTATCTTAATATTCTGCTTTTAAAAATGAGGGCTCCTAATTCAGGAATGATGGAGATGCAGATGTTTAAAATTTATGATACATTTGTCAACTTAATGCCATGGTTAATCACAGCCTATTCCAGTGTTGAAATGCTCCGTTCCAAGAAAAGGAAGCGATATGTACTGAAGAGAAGTACAGTTTACAGAAAGTAATTTGAAAAGTTTATAGTTTTTATTTGAGAATTTATGTGCTTTCACCCCTCAATTAATTCCAGTATTTTAAATCTGATATTAAGATATTAAGAGTTAGAGGATGGACAAGACTTGAGGAAGTCATGGGTCAAACTTATATGCATTACAGATCTGTTCAATTACTTAGCAGAGGTAAAAAGAGCTGACTTTTGGTTAACATGTAAACTGTATTCAGTAGATGTATTTGCTAATTCTTTTCTGATGACAAATACTGAGCCCCTTTGTCACTTATTGGTAGTTCTTATTGTATCTTTCATCTTCTGCTGTTGCAAACCCAACAAGTTCTTAGCAAGCATGAAGTTTTAAAACTTAGATAATATTATAGATTACTAGCTCCCAGGAAATGGTATTGTGCCATGCTGTTAAGTTTCAGTTTCAGGTAACTGTGACTGTGTCATAGGAATTTTCATCAGAGATATATCTGTGTCAGGATTTTGGGTTTTTTGTTTGACTTTAAGGCACTGGAGTGGGACAAATGTATCAATTTTACTCAATTATACAGTAATGTATACCATCCCATTAAAAAGGGCCTCTGGCAGCTGCTAAACTGTCTTTTCCCTCATCTGCTCTAGGGATCCATCAGAGAGAATTATTATAGAATCACCTTTTCTGACCACCTTTAGCAATTGGAAAATTACTCACCCTTCTGTAATGGTTTATACATAAACTGGATAAAGGATAAAGAAGGAATCAACTAGAAAACTCCGATATGATATTGATTATAAACTTTCTAAAATAAGTCATATTGTTCATTTAAATATGCTTTATATTAGTTTACGAAATGCATTTAGTAAAATGTTATTTCAGTAGGGCTGACATGTTGAAACCAAAATTTATTTTTCTTCTCTGCCCATTGCACTTCTTCCTTCCTAGGTAACCCTGCACTGTTCTGGTTCTCGAGGCACATTTCTCTCTGGGGAAGCATTTCCTTCAACTTGGCTGTGTTCATCAATTTAGCCGTTGCACTCTTCTACCCATTTGGGGACGATGGAGATGAAGGCAAGGGCTTGTCTTTCTTTAAATGAGAAATATTTTAAAGTTCTAAAATAATATTCTTAATGCATTTCTTAACTAGAGCTTCAAAATCATAATGATTTAATTCTTGTAAAATAGATTTTTCTGTATTCATATTGGAAGTAGAGAATTATGGTAAGTGGAGTAGGCAGAAAACTGTGGTCAATAAAAATGTTATTTTGCAAAAAGCTCATATACAGAAGAGCTATATTATATATTGACAAATAAAGTAGTAGAAAAAAATTATAATTTTTACCTGTTATTACCGAAAGCATTTTTATACTTTATCATCTCAATTATAGAAATATATGGGAAAATGAAGAACTTATGCCAAAATATTCATTGTGATTATCTTAAGTAGTGGAATTTATTTTTTACTCCCTGTTCTTTGCTTTCTGTCTTATCTAAGGTGTTTATAATGAGCATACATGAAATCTGAAAAATTAAAAAATGTACAACATAAGACGGGATGTAATAATAGAGACTATCTCAGATATAGCAAAAGGTGAATTCTTTTGTTTCCAGTCTAGGACTTCTCTACATGAATGATTGACTATGAAATTAATTTTATTAAAATAATACATGAGGTTTTACAAAAGAAAAGACAAGAAAATATCTCATTTTAAGTGAAATATGTTAAAGGGTGGGGCTGTAGAAGTTAAGTTTGTTTAAGAATGAGAAACGTTCTTCCAGGCTTGTGATCCAAACAGATAAATAACTTTGTAATATGACTTGGAGGAAACGATGAGCGATATCAGCAAATTATAACCACAAGGTGCTGGTGTATCTCATCTGTTCATAGGATTACCGTGAGAATTTAATGAGATGTTACAGGCAAAGCATTTAGAATAGTGCCTGGTAATCATTCAATAAAACTTAGTTGGTGGTGGTGGTGTTGCTAGGTAAAGATTAATACTACAAAGGGAAGCCCAGGGAAAGGGATGGTATAACGACAGCCGCAGGTATGTACGTCTATTGCAGATGAACCGGAGGTGAGCAGGAAGGGAACCGGGAGTCCGGGAGTAATTTCCTATTTTAAAGATCCATTAAGATAATAGATATCCGAGTCCGAACATTTAAGTATAATGGTCATGAATAAAGTTTGACTTTTTGGAAGGCATGCAGTACTAAAAGAGGGATGTTTGACAATGGACCAATGTGTGAGTTACATAGCAGTGAAAAATGTAGCAAGTATTTGGTCATCCATTGTGGGGAAGTCGCAAAGACAGTGGGAAGTGGAAAAAGCTTTCTATTTACCGTGTTTAGTCTCATTTAGTGATGATAGCTCTCTTGGCACAGAAGAGTGTAACTCTTGTTAAGGAGAGAAATCCAGCTTGATATGATAAATTAATATCATCTGCACACAGAATGCTAAAGTAAATTGTAGCATCCTGGTTAATAGAGGCATAAAGTCTTAGATACGGAAGCAATTCTGGAAATCATCTAATTGTAAACCCTCATTTGATGGATAAAGAGACAGAAGCCCAGAGAGGCTAAAAAATGGCAGGTCTCAGAGTAGAAGGTTAACTGTTTGGTTCCAATCCAGGACTTTTCTACATGGATGCTTGGGTTGGAAGCATACAGATAACAGGAAGATAACAAATCTTCACATAATTTTTCCTGAGTGGCATTCTATAAAGTCTCTTCCTTGACTACCAGGGCCAATGTATACTCGTATAGCCTCTGCTGCCACCTGTTGTATATGAAATATAATGGTGATGGGCAATGCCACCCCTCTGGACATCTACTCTTTATTCATTCAGGAGAAAGTGGAACACCTGATGCATTTTTAATACTCACCTGACTAATTACAGAATAGTAATATATATAATAATAATGGGAGCTAATGATGTTTACCATTTAGATTGGGTCAGGCAAAAAGCTGAGTACCTCGTGTACATCATGTCATTTACTCTTCCTGACAATCTTGTAAAATAAGCACTTCATCCTTATGGGTCAAAAATCTGAGGCTTAGGAAGATTTGCCCAATAATTGGGAAGTGGAGTCCAGAACTATGTATTTTTGAACAAACTCCCAGGGTATTGGGAACTGGTCCTTGTACAAGAACTTGAAACCACGTATACAGTAACATTTGGAGTAAAGCTCCAGCCTCAGAAAGAAACAGGACTAACAAAAAACAAGACTGGAAAACATGGTGCTTCATCATCAGGTTCAGATGCAGACTTTACTCTTCAAAAAGGACTGAATAGAAGTTAGCAGTAGTATTCACCATGGAGGTTCAGTCTTAGGTATCTGAGTGTGGGGTTGGTGCTAAGAGGGAAGGGGAGGCATGAGCTGCCATTTGGTAATATGGAATCCCAAGGTTATGTTTGGGTAATGTGGTTATAGTTTTAGATGAGTTACTTAATTTTAACTCAATGGATAAGGTTAAAATTTTGGTCAGGATGAGCTGAGTCTCTAACTTCAATTCCATACTGTGTAGAGCTAGGAAGGCTGAAGAAAACAAAGCTAAGGCTAATAAGTACACTTGGCCATCAGATCTGGCTGGAGAAGGAAAATTCTGTGCTGGGCATGCAAGTTCTCTAATGCTGGATTTTGTTAGCATAGGCTTGGTGACTACTTGCCAGGAGCACTTTGAGGTAACTTAAAGATGAATTAATTGATCATTAAGATTCCTTCCAAAAAGTGCTGAAAAAAAAAATTGATGGGGACATGTCAAAGAACACAGCATCCAATTTAAAAGGCCTCCCAGTGGCTAACTCTGGAAATTTTGAGAGAAAAAAAAATCAATATTGACAGTAATACCTAATAACCTATAGAATAAAATAAGAACCCAGGAATCCATATTGATAGAAGAGAAAGCTATTCCTTACAGTAATATTTCAATTAATAAGTGTAGAAGGAATATGGAAATAGAATAAATATATCACTATTTGACAAACATCACAGTAGTAAGAATCATTAGTGGATACTAAATGAATAGGTAAACATTGGCTAAAAAGTATGAGAAACAGTTTATTGATGTAGTCTTAAAGTATTTCACCACAATATACTTACTAATATCAAAAGAAAAAAATAGTAACTTTAAAGTGGAGAAATCACTTTAAGTGATTGATGTCAATGTCACCAAAATGCATAAACTGAGAACATTTCAGACAACCCAAGATGAGGGACATGTTACACAATAATTGGCCAGTAGTCTTCAAGCTTATGAAAGATAAAGATTGAAATGCCAAATTACTACATATGGATGCAAAAGTTGGACTGTGAAGAAGGCTGATGGGGGGAAAAATGATTTGTTTACAATTCGGTGTTGGAGGAGAACTCTACAGTTACCCTGGAATGCCAGAGAGATGAAGAAGTGGGTCCTGTAGCAAATTAAGTCTGAAATATCTCTGGAGACAAAAATGACAGAACTGAATCTGCCCTACTTTGGGCACATCCTTAGAAGGTAGGATACTTTGGAAAAGACAGTGTTTCTGGGAAAAATAGAAGGCAGCAGGAAAAGAGGAAGACCAAATATGAGATGAGTTGACTCCATGAAAGAGCCATAGACATGAGTCTACAGGAGCTGGGCAGGGCTGTTGAGGACAGGACACTGTGGACGTCACTCATTCCTAGTGTTGCTAGGAGTCAGAGCTGACTCGGTGACATGTAATACACACACACCAAATTAAAAGAGACTCAACAGGCGTGACAACTGAATGCAGTGTGTGATCCTGGTCTAGAAAAAGGACATTAATTAGGCATTTGAGGAACTTTGAATAAGGTCTATAGATTACATAAAGTTAGTAACATATTAATTTCCTGATACTGATCATTGTAATGTGATTATGTAATGTATTCACATTCAGGGAATCTAGGTGAAGGGTATGTGAGAATTTTGTATTATATTTGCAACTGTTATATAAGCCTGAAAGGGTTTTGAAATGGAAGGAAGGAAGGAAGGAAGGAAGGAAGGAAGGAAGGAAGGAAGGAAGGAAGGAAGGAAAAGAAAGAGGGAGTGGGGAAGGGAGGGAGGGAGGGAGGAAGGAAAGAAAGAAGAAAGGAAGGAAGGGAGGGAGGAAGAGAGGAAGGGAGGAAGAAAGGAGGGGATTCCATCCAACCTTGAGGTCCCTGGATTCTGGATTTAGAAGTTGGTTGATCACAAAATCGCTTGATGAATCCCGGGCCCAAAAGAGACCTGTAGTCAAAATGGGCCTCATGTCCTAACCCCAGACCCTAATAGAAGCAGCTCCAGAGTCCCTATGGCCCATGTGGCTGTGAGGACAGTGCAGCTTGCAGAAGAAATGGGCTGTGTATGCTTTCTCCAAACATGTTTTCTAGCCTGATCGCACATGAGCTACTGGGAATTGCTTGTGTTTAAATATCTGGTTCATACTTTGGCGATAATATTAACTGAGAGAATAGAGTCTCTCAGTTAAGGGAGACACATAAGGGGAATGTAATTCTCAGAGGATCTGCTTATAGGCACCCCCAACCCCTACTGCGGATTATCTCCTTTTGTTGCTTTGAGGAGCTCTGATTGAATTTATTCATGAATCCAGGGCTTATTTGTGTGTCTGTGGGTTTTGGTTTGGGTTTTTTTAATTTGCTTGATTGGATTATTCAACATCTGCTTCTCTAAAAAAGAAAATTGTGCTGAAGTTGAGGGATGAGGCTATGTTGGGTGTGGCTGAAGCAGCAGCTGTTGATGCTGGGGAATCTCCTAGATGTCTATGTAGAAATTGGACATTGTCATGCCAACCATTTCCGCCCAGTCTGGCAAAGGCAGACTAGTTAGTGGAGAAAATTGCCGCCAAGAGAATGTCTTATATCCAGATAGCATGTGATTTAAAAAAAAAAAAGTCCAAATTTTGGATGTAGTTCTTTTTTCCCTCAAGTGTTTTGTGTTAAAGAAAAGAAGCTCTTCAAGGTGGTTTTGATGCATTCGTCTTACTAACCACACTGATGGAGTGCCGCTATGTGCCCGGCACTGTGCTAGGCCCTAGAGAGACAGAAGTTGGTAAAGCTGTGCTTGTCCTCTAGGAGCTTAAGGTCTAATTAAGGAATGAAGAAAGGAGTAAAGCACAGTAGTAAAGATCTCCCATGGGCTTATGGATAGATGTCTACTTTAGTTGGACTGAGGTGGGGGAAACAGGGCAGTTTTATGAGGCTATGTGGGAGGCATAGGAATAGAGAGAGAATGGGAGGTCAGCTGTGGCACGTTCTATACCGCAAACTAATCAGTGTGAAGTAGACAGGAGAGTTCCATCATGTGAATTGAACTGAGGTCTCCCAATTTTGCGTTTTGAATTTTCTTTTAAAAAGGACAAACTTTCTACTTTCTAAGATTTAAAAACGTAGAGCGAATTCTAAAATTCTTTTCATTACAAAAGCAATACATCCTCATTATAGAAAATTGATACAAATATAAAGTAAAAAGACAGTCCCCCATCCCATCTTTAATGGGTGAAAATGGACTTTGAAGATCTGTGCTATCTTCTCTAGCGTTTGCCAGAGGATTTCAATTTATTTTTTAGCATAGATCTTCAGCTAGAAACCAATATGATTATTCTCACAGAATATGATTACAAATTATTGTCAATGGTCAGCTGACAATACTGTAAATTAATAGCCATTTTAAATAACTTTTAAGTTTATTATTCATTCACAAGTACGTATTTAATATTTAAATATGTTCAAGGTACTGTGCTAGATGCTATTTGAGTTCTTTCTCCAAAGAGATCAAATTCCCAGTTTTAAGTGCCTGGTTATAATTTCTTGTTTAATCAAGGGGAAATCTTAGCAAGCTGGATACTGTCTGGGAAGAGTAGTCAAGATGTGGCTAGCCGATTGGGCATTAATGACAATGCACAGTGTGACTACCAATGTGAAAGCTGAGACTTTTTAAATAGAAATATCACACCAAGTCATTGCTTATGAGTTATACTGGAGTCTAATGGCTGGCTAAAAGTTATTCAATGTGCAAAGATGTTGATAGTTTCAGTAAACTGAAGAATGACGCTCCACAACTTGGGGAATTTATAACTGGAGACTCAGTTACTTAAAATGAGCTCACAGGTTATTTTTGTGTATTCATTTAATCAACAAATAAATATGTGTTACTGCATGCCAGGCACTGTGATAGACCCAGAAATGGTCCTCACCCTTACAGAGCTTATGTTCTTATGGCATCCCAGTAAGCTTGAGAGGAAGTTGAAGACATTATTCTCTCCATGGCTCTTTGAGATCTGTGAAATCAGGGCAGTTGGTGGTCAGGCTATGTTTTGTAGACATAGCGTGCTTCCAAGCCAACATCACAATAAACATGAGTTGGGTACCCATTTTGTTAGTGTTGCCAGAGGATAGGAATTGAAGGTAATTTCCAAAGCAAATTACCCCTTTTCTTTATTTCCCAAGTAATCTTATCAGATCATAAATGTGGTGAAGGGGCAGATCAAATCTCTCTTCCCAACCTTCTTTCATCACTGCTTGCTTGAAGAGATAACATAAGAACAAACATTGCAAAAATAAACATGTCTAAACCAATGCTGTTATCTGACTTTTTGTTTTGTATTTAATGTCTAACAGGATCTTCCTACCTACTTTTGATCTTTTAGCACTCACTATGAACTAAAAAGCTTACACAGAATTCGTTGCAGGAGTCCAGATAATCCCATGGTTTTGATGATAATACAAAAGCCCTGCACACCAGTGTTTTGCACGCAAATGTTAATTTTATAAATAATCAAAAGAGATATGGCCAAAAGAAATAACTAGTGGAAAATCTCCATTTTGTTGTTTCCCCTCTGACTTCATCGGCCTATCCACTCATGTCTGAGGCCACAACACTGATCTAATCAGCTCAAGAATGTTGCCCCTTCATTTACTTCTGCAAATCCAGCCCCACATGACCCTCAGAAGGGGATTCCTTAATTCTGAATGTCAGGGGAAAAATCCATGAATTGTACCTCTTTTTAAAGGACATATAGTTTTAAACTCTTTTTTGGACAATTTTGAAAGAGATTTTGTTTGTAATGGAGTTCATTTTTACAACATTTGGAACTTTTGTTTTCTGATGATTTAAATAGCTCAACATTTTTTTTTTTTACAGCTTGAGTTGGCCTTCAGATACACACACTCATACATTCTGACACATATACATTCTGACACATATACATTCTGACATATATACACACGCATGTGTTTTACCAGTTAAAACTTGTCCATTTTATTAAAGACTGGATAGTCTATATTCTGAATTTTTTAGAGGAATCTGTAATAAAGAAACTTGATAATAATAGAACAAGACAAAGTATGAGTTCCGTGGAGGAATACCAGAGTCCACATGAGTTAGCTGTACATTTAATGGTCATTAATCATAACTTGTAAATGAGGATTCCCAAGTGGGCTACCTCTATCAAGTAGCAAGTAACTCCTGTAGGTGAGAAAGATGAACAACTCTCAGACTTAATGGAAGGAGCATTAACCAGTGAGGATGTAAGCATACTCAAATTAATCACAAACTTCCTAGAAAGAAAGTTATAATGTGTTCAAAGACATTTCCTCTAAATATACAGTGTGTAGAGTGGGGTGTTTTCAAATTTAGTGTCCTGTGGTTTGACTTGCTATATGTATTATATAAAATAGAGAGTCAAATATTTCAACATTTTTCTAGTTTTCTTCATAGTAAAAATAAACTTATTCTACATCTTACAGGTACACTTTCTCCATTGTTCTCAGTTCTTCTTTGGATAGCAGTCGCAATCTGCACATCTATGCTGTTTTTCTTCTCCAAGCCTGTGGGCATTCGGCCATTTCTCGTGTCAGTAATGCTCAGATCAATATATACAATAGGTCTTGGGCCGACATTAATACTTCTTGGTGCAGCTAACGTAAGTACCTTACCTAGCTTTGTACTGTTATAGGTTAATTAAAAGTGTACTAAATGTAAAATTATAACTACATGTTTTAAATCATATAGTAAATACAGTCAATTTAATTTATTGTGACTCTGAATTAACCAGAGTTTAATGTGTACATTCTTTTTTTTTTTAAGATTTTATTGGGGAATTGGGGGAGGGGAACAGCGTTGGGAAATCGGGGAAAAGGAGCGGACAAGTTGCTGTCCTTTTGTTGTTCAGTCTAGTTGTGGAGGACATCGCTTCACTGGCCCCCATTGGTGTTCTCATTGCGCTCTTCCCTGGTGAGGCAGATCGGTTGCCGGCCATTGGACGGCCGCTCACGGTGGCTCACGGCAGCTCATGCGAGCTGCCGGCCACTCACACAGGCTGCCAGCCACTCATGGTAGCCCACTGCAGCCCTGCTGCAGCCTACGCCATCGCTGGTGACTCACGGCAGCCCAGCTCCAGATCAAGCTGTCATTCACCATCTTAGCTTTAGAGAGTGCAGTGACACTGGCCCTCATGTGGGATCCGAACTGGGGCCCTGCTGCTCAGAGCCAGCACTCCTTAACCAACGTGCCACATGGCCGGCCCTAATGTGTGCATTCTTAATTTTGATAGCAAGAAAAAAAATCACAAGTAAAATTTGATATATGTAAGAAGGTAGCATTTGGGGCATGACCCAATTCTGTAATCAGTTTAATCTAATCCAATTTTAATGTCTTCTGTATCCTATACCTTTAGCTATTGACAAAAATGACTTCGAGCCACTGTTAACATCCAAAAGTGACTTCTAAATCATGTAAGAGAGATTAAATTATAGTTAGTAGAATTTTGGAAGTGAGTACCTTTTAGAAAAATGACCAAGGAAAAAGGTTTGCTGTATGAGAAAATATGAAATTGGGCTCTTTTTATGTGAACAAAACCTATAAACTTGTGAAAGCCATAGATGAGATTAATTTTCTTTCTACTACATTTTAAAGTATTGGAACAAGAGAGCACATTTCAAAACTTAAGTTAGGTAAGTTTAGAATAAATAGGCCAGAATACTATTCCAAATAATGGTAATTTCACACAAGAGATAAAAATTTAAAGGGACTAGACTTTCTGCATGGCAGAGTCACAAAGGGATACTAAGAAAAGGTAAGTCATCAGGTTGATGAAAGAACAAATGGCCAGGTAAACAAATAAATATTGCTAATATGTCTGATGAATACCTAAAGCATTTTCGGTATCTTTTACTGAATTTTTAACATAATATCCTGCATATTATGTTAAATATAGGCCTGTATATATGGGCCTTATCTCCCCTACTACGTTATGCAGTTCTTAAGGATAATGATTAATCATTCAATGTCTGGAATATCATTGGTACTCAACAAATATTTCTTAAAGAAATTAGCTGAGTGAGTGAATGAATGAGGGAAACATTATTTTTGTGTTCTTATACATTTATAGTGCCTTGCACATGAAATATGTGGCAAATATTTATTGAAAATGAATAAATTAAATAGTCAACCAAACTTTTGAGGCTTGTAAAGCTCAGTTAGTATGATCAGTTCTATGTTTCTGATCCTATATATAATTCTTCAGAAATTGGACATGACTATATTTGACAGCTCCCAGTGAACTAGAACATTCAAGCAACCAAATTACCAATTAATCCTCAATCATTGTCAATAAAGAAAAGTGCACTACGCATACAAAGAAATCTTTCAGTACAGAATTCTGTGAAGTACTAAATATACTGTTCCAAAAGTTTCTTGAGGGCAGAGGTTATCACAGTCATAGATATAATCCTGTCCTCCCTACTCCCTTCCAGCTCCATTTTTTTCCCATATGAATACCTGGCACTTAAACATTCAAAAATTGTTTACATAAGCTGAGCTTGTACTTTCAATACTTTTGATATAGGCTAATTTTGCAATATTGCCAACCAGGCTAATTAAGGAATCTTAATGGGTTTATCTACGTTTTTCTAAACCTACTAGGTTGACCAGCTTCTTATTTTCTCTTTAAAAAGTACATTGAATACTGAACCAAATTATTTGAAGAAGCAAATGATATTTATACACTGGTAACTGATCCTCAATAAGTCATTAATCCAAATGATAAAATCCAAGTTGGTAAAGTAAAATAATAGCTAAGTAGAGTTGGGCCAAAAATAGCAAATATTTATTGGGCCTCTGCTATCTAATAGACACTGAAAATACCAAGAGGTAGAGGATATAGTTCTTGCCATCCAGAAGCTTCAAGAATATATAAAAGATATAATAACCAAAAATATTTTAAGTATTTTCCCCCCCCTTTAGGAGCAGGATAAAAAAAAAAAAACTTCTGCCTGGTTTGATGAGAATAGTTCCACCATAAGAAATGACTGTTCATATGAAACACGTTTTATACTTTAATTTCTTTGTGACAAGGAATATACATGGAGATATAGTTTTCTGATTAACTATATGAATCTGAGGGTACTCTAATAGCCTTCACAGCATGAAACATCCATTTACACAGTCCGTAAATGATACATTACGATATGCCAGTCCAGGGCTTTTTGACCAAAGGAAATAATCACCTTAGATTTGCGGCAAATTAAATGGAATAATTGTAACTTTATATAGTAGATATTGATAAAAAGAGTTTTGGTTTATAGTTTTGATACTGTAAAGATTAATAAATTTTTTTTGCAAATAGTCCTTTACTTTAATGTTTAACATAACAAGCTCATAAATCTATCTATAATTTACCATTTCCCAGAAGGCAAGAAAAAACCCCCCATAAATCAGTCATGTTTTGTACCTTAAGTTTTATATCTTTACTAACTCAATTTACACTTAAAAGTTTGCATTGAGTAACAAGTGAAAGTAAGTGCTAAAATTATTGGTATAAGAAACAGGAAAACAAAAGAAAGTATCTACCCAACAGTTAAGCCCTAATGAGAATCAGGATTCTAGACCTTAGGCAAATCAATAGGCTCTAAATTTCATTCTTTTCATCAGTGGAATGAAGATAGTAAAGCCTGGTCTATCCTCAGCGGGTTGTTGGGAAGATCATTGTAAAAATTTAGAAAAGAACAATAACGGTAATAATGATTATAATAGTAGCAATAAAGTCTACCATTTACCAAGTACGTAATATGTGAAGTACGATTTAATTATAAGATGTTACTATTATGATCATAAAAGTGTTTGGTTCACAGAGTTGTTTCTGGAGGTGGTGTCTTTCATAGTGTTGAGCAAATACAGAAAGTCCCTTTTTTGGAAAAGGAATCAAGTGGGAGGAAAGAACTTCAATCTATATTCTGAGCACTTGTTATCAGTTTGTATTTATTATTATGCTTCATTTTTATCATCTTTATTCATTTCTAAAAATTGAAGTTTTGTAAAAATTGCAGCTACTTTGTCTCTCGTGTAATAAGAGTCATCTCAGTATTAGAGATGTTTCAAAGGTTCAAATGTTTTTCTCTATTATAGAGTATAACTTATAACCCAGCACAGTTTTCTTCCCACCCACTACACTGCATTTTTAGTTATTGGTAATGGAAATTAACATATTATTTTGGCAAATATAAACACACATTTTATAAATTTGGGATCACTTAATTTTTTCCATACCATTAAAATTATTTGTAAATCTCATTTTAATAACAATGATATTTCCAGTCATATTGATGTTATATAATTTGTTTAACCATTCTATTATGTTTTATTGTTTCTATTTTTGGATATTTTTAATAATAAATAATGCAGTAAATACCTGTGAAAGATCTTTTAATATCTTCTAAACACTTAGTATCTACATTGTTTTTTTCCTTTCTAGTAGTGCCTGGAAATGTATAATTTATTTAATAGCATTTATAAATCACTTGCCTTGCTTGTACAGTGGAAATGTTTCCTTATTCTTGGAGTTGGTCTCACCAGTTTGCAGAAAGGAAGAGCAAATGGAGTTTAGCAGATAGCTATCTATTAACTAGAAGCCACAGTGTTCAAATTTAACAGTGTCATTCCCTTAGTTACTTACCTGTAAATAGTTTCCTGGGAGGGCTCATGTCACTGCTAATCTATAAAGTTGAGTCCCAACATATGTTCATTTAACATATACAAATTTAGTTACATATTCTGAGTCAAAACTTTCATAATCCCCACCCACCTCCAACACGCACATACACACCATTTTTCATGTAATATGGCCACTGAACGTTCCTAACAACATCTTAATATCAGCTACAGAAACAGAAAATTGCTCCAGTGCTGCGAAAAGCCAGCATGTGTCAAATTTAGTGAAAGACACAACAGATTACAACACCCTTGTTTACCGTACTGTTTTTTTTTGTGGAGGGGGAGAGGGGCAATGTAAAAGATTTCCGAGGCAATTCTGACTACGTGAAAATTTCACCTTAGGCTTTGACCATAGAACCTTATCCTGCCTAAGATGTTATGTCACTGAAATGGAGATTATTTTAATCAAATCATCTCATTTTTAGAGAGAAAGTTGATGGAAATATGGTAATAGAGTTAAACTGTTGTTCAAGACAATAAATTCAGTTTTACTTTTCAATAAATAGTAGACAATCTTTTTTTGCTGGAATTTATTCCTGGAATATAGGTCATGTTTTCCCATAGGAACGATGTAAGATGGGGATGGAATTCCTGATCAGGGATAGAGAACCAAACAAGACAACAAGAATAATATAATGGCAGCTATAAACTTCTGTGATTACATAAAATAGTACAATTGAAAGGACATCACAGAGAACTCCAAAGCTATGAGACATCTTAAGGATTATTCACTTCTGGGCATCTCGTTTTTTAGAAATGAATATATAGCATCCTATTGAGACCAGGAGGATTTACCAAATAATTAGTGGCAGAGCCAAGACTGGAACCCATTATGGCCCAACAACTTAATCCGGGGTCTTTCTACTATACTGCACTGTTAAAAATCCTGCCAAGACAGATCAATGAGCTATAAAGTATATGTGAAAGTATTACTGTACTGCAGAATTAATTTGCCTAATTAAAATTAACAAACTTGCTTTAATATACATTAATTAACAAATGAGTCTTAATTTTGCTTTTGATTATAGAAGATCTTTTGGTAAATCATTTGAATGGTGGATCACTTTTAAAAGACTCTACAGAAAGCTTACATTGATGCTGTTTCCCTCTCCTATCCCACCCCGCTTTTCCCCCCACCATCTCACAATACACCCTGTCCTCAAAAATGTATCCAGTGCATCTTTGAAGAATAGATGGAGAAAAAAAGATATGGGGTACTTGTGGTCATTTATATTGGTACTTGTGTACTGACTTGAGGGTCCTTTCAATACCAGTTTTATTAATAGAAGGTCATGGTCTTTTAATTACCTTGCCCAGTTCTCATACCCTCCGTTTATTGTTGCCCACATAGACCTTTGCCATAAAAGCAATGATTGCCTCCATAATGGTATTGACAAATAAAGGACAGGTTAGACAACATCAAGTAAGTCATGACATGAGAAGGGAGAATGTTTTTGTAACTTCTTCTTTCTCTGCATAAATATTTTCAGTTTTCATAGAAAATGCTATGTAAAATACAACATGTACTTTTTAAGGTTATGCTGTGGGAAAACCAGAATTCAACTTGTTTCCTACACAATCATTTATCCTTGCATTTATTTCACCTTGGTATGAACACTTAAAAACAAAAGGACAACAATTTCCTTGTTTCTGATCGCTACAGAAACAGGTAGATGCCACTGCCAGCATCAACTCCATCCCACTTCATTGCTCAGTCAGGAGAACAGGGACATATCCATCAATATGAAGCCCTGTGCCAAGGTTCAAAAAAAAGAATCAATATGAAAACAAATAAGGCAAATCTGTATTTTTCATGCAAAAATGGCAGAGGCCCTTTTAGGCAGAAATGTGTCCATGCTTTAGCATTATTTAAGAACTGAAATGTATTTCTCTTTTGAGAGTTTGAATTCAATGCATTACTTTTCCGCAGTGTATAGGGATTAAAAGTAGTTTTCCTGCATGATTTTTTTACGATTCAGGTTAGGGAAGTAGAGATCAGGAAACAAAATATAAATAATTTTTCTTAAACGTATCATTCATTCTTCTAGAAAGTCATAATTCCAATTTTCAACTTAATTTTTACAGAACTTATTTCTATTTCATATTGATGTATTATAGTGGATTAATCAAGGTAGTTTAAATTTAAACAATAGTCATTCAAAACAATTTCAAGAGTAAAACACTATTTTACTTCACCCATACATTCTACCTTTCGCTATTTTCATAAATGTTTGTCACATACTACACTTATATCAGCACCTTGTATGTATTTCCTGAGTTTTTAAAATAATGACTTCTTATAATATTAAATTTGCTCTTGGCTAGTAAATATAAAGACATCCTTTCTACTTCTACTGTAGCTATATTTAATAATAATCTAAAGATGTGATAATGAAACACTATATAGTGAAGTAAGACTTCCTGTTTAACATTATTCAAATTGTTAACAAGATGATGAAAAAATTGATAACATTGATTATTGAGAGGATAGTTAATTAACAGAGGGTAAAACTTAATAAAGGTTTGAACATTTTAGTTGCTATGTTGTCTATTTGGTTTGGCTATTTTTACAACATGCAATGATAGCCCATTTCTTATTTTATCTGTATTGAATTGGACTTCAGAAAGTTGAAGGAAAATATTTTTCTAACCTCTTAAATTTCACTTCTGCCTCAAAGCATTTTGCTCCTTATGTTATTTAAAAATCATTCCATAAGGCAATTTCTTCTATGTATATTGAAAAAATCAACAATGTTGCAAAGAGCAATCTTTCCCCCCAAAGTTTGGTTTGGACATATAAAAACAAATATGGTGCCATTAGATAACTTAAAGAACTCAGGGAACAATTTGGAAAAACAAACTGAAATTTCGAAATCTGTAATTCTTTCCTTGGTGACTAAGAGGCAAAATTGACTCTTTAGTTTATAAATAATGCAGTGATTCCAGAACCAAATAGATGACACTAAGTTTATGATAACTGTGTTCTTTGGAAATCATTGCACAGATCATTGTTATTGCCAAAGATTCTCAGTATAAATTTCTGTCTGAAGTTTTGCCACAAAAGGCAATATTAAATATAGTTTTAATATAAATACATTATACCAATCATAATAAACACTCCAAAATGCTTATTGAATTTACCACACAGAGCTTAGAAAATATATGCACACATTATATATATTTAACTTAATGTATATGGTATTTAATAATTTTTATGTATTTAAAGTAAATTAAATGTAAAAATAATCTGTAATGGCTTGTTTAAAATAATACTCAGTAGAGAATGTCTAGGATTAAAAAACATATATCAAGGACAGATCTCTGAATATTTTCTGAAAAGATATTTTTCTGTTACATTTCTAGTGTAATAAAAAATTTATATATATTACTTTTAATATGTAAAGTATAATGAGCAGTATTTAAAGAGTCATTGTACTAAGTGGTTCATATGCCTTATGAATTGTTTAATCCTCTGAAGAGTTCTGTGAGTTGGAAATTCTTTTTAGTCCAGTTTTTCAGAAGAGACCATCAAGGCCTACAGATGCAGGACCTTAGTCATGGCAATAGTAGTTGGAGAGCCAGGATTTAAACTCAGATCTGTGTTGATTTCATACCTGGAGCTCTTAATCATTCTTCTCTCTTTTTCTGGAACTGCAAAGGATACAAGTTCTGTATGTATTATGTTTACCTGCAAATTTGTTAATAGTGCTGAAAAATTACAAAATGAGAAATCATAAAAGAAAACTACAGATTCATGAATAATGGGTTTTGTTAGTGATCTGCTATTTATGTGAGTTTCAGGGTAAATGAGACAGTAAAATCTAATTTTTTTCTCCCTTTAGCTTTGTAACAAAATAGTATTTCTGGTGAGTTTTGTCGGAAATCGTGGCACATTCACCCGAGGCTACCGAGCGGTCATCCTGGATATGGCCTTTCTCTACCACGTAGCATATGTCCTGGTTTGCATGCTGGGCCTTTTTGTGCATGAATTCTTCTATAGCTTCCTGGTGAGTACATCTCTGTGGATAATCACTGTTGAAAAAGGCAAAATGCTGCTGCTTCTTTTGCTTCTTCCTTTGATTTTTTTTTTTAAGCAGGGCATGACATTTAGGACAAATTATGTTATTTTTAGAATTTCCTAGAACAAGCATGAATTACTATTATTTTTAATCTTTTTCTCTGAGAAACCACATAGGTGGTGGATTCTTTTTTTTTTTTTTAAAGATTTTATTGGGGAATTGGGGGAGGGAACAGTGCTGGGGAATTGGGGAAAGGGGAACAGACAAGTTGCTCTCCTTTTGTTGTTCAGTCTAGTTGTGGAGGACGTCGCTTCACTGGCCCATGTTGGTATTATCATTGTGCTTTTCCCGGGTGAGGCAGATCGGTCGCCGGGCTCTGGATGGCCCCTCACGGCGGCCCCTCACAGCGGCCCCTGGCAGCTCACACCGGCTACCGCCGCTCACGCTGGCTGCTGGCCACACACGGTAGCTTATGGCAGCCCACTGCAGCAGGGGCTGCAGCCTACGCCGTTGCTGGCAACTCACGGCAGCCCAGCTCCAGGTTGAGCTGTTTTTCACCATCTTAGCTGTAGAGGGCGCAGTGTCACTGGCCCTCATGTGGGATCCGAACCGGGACCCTGATGCTCAGAGCTGGCGTCCCAAGCCAGCTCTTAACCAACGCGCCACTCGGCCGGCCCAGGTGGTAGATTCTTTATTTCCTTTCTGAGAAGGAACCAAGGACCCCATCTCTTGACCCAGGTTTCATACAGCAGCTGCTTTTGGTTTCAGCCAAAATGTAGTTTCCTTTACATTTAGAGATTCCCCAACAGAATGTGGGAGAGAAATGGGGATAGAATCATTGTATTTTATTTACAGTGTCAAATATTATGTGTATCTTTAGGATGGCATATAAGTAAAATGAAGGGGAAAACTGCCAACCTAGCAAAAAGACAATGAGTTGTTTTAAGTTAAGTTTCAGATTTAGTGTCATCGTTGTTAAGCTTATCTGCGTATCTACATATACTTAATTAATGAAATGGATTTCAGAATTCTTCTAATTTTTTATTTGTTTGTTTGCTGATGATCAGTTTTTCTTCCTACATGTATATTTTATGGCTATTTGTATAGGAGTCAATACAAATATATGACAATGTTTTGAAACGTAAAGCATCATGCATAGGAGCAATTTTTTATCTCTCTAGCCCATAACTGACATGCAGTAGAGAGCACTGCCCAGTAAAATAATTCCTGAAGACAAGTCGAAGACCTAAAAACATTATGCTGGCCTGGTTTGCTTGGCCATGTGGGACAAATCCACTGGCTTCTGCTTCCCTATTGTCTAGCACACCCATGTAGGAAGACTGAAAAAAGCTCCTTTTCCACTTACTCTGAAACACTTGAAATGAGCCATAGCGAAGAGTGAATTTTCCCCATATGTTTAGATTAAAAATTTTCTTCCAGGCAGTTAATCAGATTATTCACCAATCAAAAGGAGAATTTTTTTTTTTCTGTTCCAGGGATCCAAATGAATCCCCTCTCTGCTCTGGTTTATCAAAAAAATTCCATTTTTAAAAATATGCCTGTGACATATTAAAGTCCTATTATACCCAGCAGTTTTAACCTGACTGTGATGTAATATTCTATAATATTTTTGTGCTTCAACGTTCTTGTTTATAAAATGGATAGGAATAGTATGGATGACTAATATTATCAAGATCCATTAAAGAGATAATGTAAAATGATGTATAGCAATCTTTATGTCTTCCAAGTAAAGGTATTTGATAAAATAAAGGTATATTTGAAAGATTATATGAGCTATTAATAATACTGTAATTATAATTTATGTTACTTAACTTATTTTTTAGTTTGTTTTCCTCTGTCTTTTACCTTTCAAATTTTACAATACTGATGCTAATTTTTTTCACTGGGTTGGTTACACAAAGAATATAGTCCTTTTCGATGTTTTGAGTACTAGAAGGAAATTGTAGTGGACATAATACCAAAATTAAATTTAAACATATTTTTTAAATATTTTCGTATTTTAAAAGCTATATAAATATGCATTCCTGGTTTTGTCCACAAATGTCAATCCTTAATCCAAAATAATAAAAACCACACTCTAAATTTTCCTTTTAGAAATAAACAGAAAGAACGATCAACCTGTCCAATGTCAACACCTTTTGCATTCTCAAGATTGTGATTCCATGAGTGTAGTGTGGGGCCCAGGAATACACAGTTTTTGCAAGCATCCCATGGACTTTTGAAAGCTATAAACTTTCAACAACTATCCAGAAATGACCTAGAGCCCATGGCCAGACCTTTTCTTTAAGAGGCTATTGAGTTCAAGTTAAGAAAAAACTCCTTTATGTAAACTAAATGCTTAAATAAATTAAATTAGAATGTTGATAATTTGGAAGCTGAGTTTGCATTAGTTAATTCATACAGAAGAATATTGATTTTATTTCTAGAGTTTTCTGCTCCCTCCAGAAGATAAATAAATAGTGAAATAGTTAACATATTTTTGCATGTTTGGCCATTATAAAATAACAGTTTCCTAAGGTGAGCAAACAAGTTACTATCTGTACAGCAATTATTTCCAAGGCTACTATTAAATTGGAAAGTAACTGTTTAACCCTTAATACTCAGAAAAACAGAGTACAAGGCCCTGATGTTTCTGAGAGGATGCATGACACTGATAATTGATCGTTTCAGCCAGTTTAGAAATTCTAATCACTCCTCACAGATGGCAGAAGACAAACCCCAATTATTCCAATTTTCAATATACTCTTTATTTCCAAACAGATATTTATGCCTTCATTAAGTGAATGCTAATTTATTGTTTTTAACCAGCTTTGATAGTAAAACATGTACTTGCTAATGTATAATTTCAGCTTTTTATATTGCAATAAATAAAATTGTTTTTAGTGTTGACTACATATAGCAAACATATATCTAGGTTCTTGATTAGTGCATAGATTTTCTACTATGAAATATAATACAAAATGGATAATAACCCATTAGAGGAAGTGAATTAGCAAATTTGTGTATTATGTTTTTGTTTCTACTTCTGTTTCCAAAAGTATATAGTAACGTAATATGTTGTGCCCTCATTATCCCCCTTTTTTAAGGAAAGATGTTTGCATTTCTCAAATATTTTAAATTTCACATCTTATCTATTGTGACAGACTCATAAAATTGTTTTTGTAATTTCACCTCTAATCACTTGATTAAACAATTCATTTAATGAGTCTGTTAACTATTCCTCACTTAGCTGAACCTAATTCAGCATTCTCACTTTAGCCATTTTATGCATTCCAGAATCAACTGCAGAATATCAGTAGGCCTAAAAATATGGAATAAGTAACTAAGTTGGTTAAGTATAATAATTTTTCTAAATTCAAATGTAAAGGTATACTATCCATGTCTTACACAATTGAAATCATGTTGGTTATGAAACTAACAGATGCATAGTATATGTTGTGTTTAGAGTTCTCTTTATTGAAAAACAGTTTATTAATCCATTCCAACTGGACAGAAATACATATTTTGGTTCATTTTTGAGATGTCATTTTGGCTATTTTTTCACAAATAAACTAAGATGGTTTGCATTTGTATTTGTAATGACCTTTATATTTATTCATTGTTTGCTCCTTTGCATTTTTTTTTGTTTTACTGTATTTTTGTAGCTTTTTGATTTGGTGTACAGAGAAGAGACTCTGCTCAATGTCATCAAAAGTGTCACACGGAATGGCCGCTCCATTATTCTAACTGCTGTCCTCGCTCTCATCCTTGTCTACCTGTTTTCCATTATTGGGTTCCTTTTTCTGAAGGATGACTTCACGATGGAAGTGGATAGGCTGAAAAACAGAACTCCCATTACAGGTATTGCTCTTACCACTAAATGAGCTTTCTCAGATGGCAGATGGGATTTGTTGGTAGCTTGTTAAGAGGATTACAGATAAACACTAATGGAAGAAATATTTTCTTTCATTCCTTTGAAAACATGCTCTGGTTCACTAAGAGCTCATGCCTGTGAAATACTTTTAGGCTGTATATGGGCTGTCCAGGTGTATAGGAATGTTCTTATACAAGAAACATCATCTAAGCTCAGCCTCAGTAACAATGTTTCAATGCTGACTATATTCCAGGAGACAGTCAGCACCTTCAGTGCAGAATAATAGCTTTGGGATTCTTTTCTTCCTCTTTTTCCTTATCTCTTCCAAGAACATTGAGCTACCATCACTTACAACCAATATCCCATAGATGTTTGCTCACAGTACATCATATTATACTTAAAAAATTAAAAATGACAAATGTTTTTACTTGAAACCACCAGATAGTAAGAAATTTGATATAGAAAAGAATACTGAAAATATTGTCATTAAGAGCCTCAATCCATCAGTACATGGCTATCAGAATTTCTGTACAGTATTTATTTGTGTTGGCTAACTGGTTAGACATCATCCCTTTACAGTCACTGTGATTCTTGTAGTGTGAAAGCTTGTATTTTCCATCTTATTTTGAATTTGTACTTATGATCTCTAAAGGTTTCTTTTTTCCCCTGTCCTACCTTTTGTTGTTCTGGTTAAATTTCTTTGTTACTCTTTTCCCTCCTCTCCTACTTTGCTGGATAGAAATCAGAGCTCTGCTCTTTGCTGTTAGTTTCTCTGTGTGATTCTGCTGCCTGTGGGTTATAGAAAATGGAAACCACAAAATGACTCTCCCCACACCATTAAATTTAAAGGTATGATTTAATTAGCAGTGCCTTCTAAGCCTTATTCCTTCTTACCTTTAACATTTCTTAATTATTTAAATTGATGATATATAGTAGTATCTTTCTTAGAATATGGGATAATTAAATGACATTTAGATCTACCATTTAGTTTAAGTGATCAAAGTGCAAAATAGAAAGATCATGTATGTAGATTGAAAGTTATTAAACGAGACTGAATTTCATACCTAGGTATTAGTTTTTATTCACAGGAACATGAAATATTTTCTGTGACTGCCTTTCTTGTTCTTCCTTAAATGTTACTTTTTCCAGAGTTTCACAGGTGTAAATAATTAGAGGAAAAGCTCATCTATATAAATACCCCAAAACTCCACTTTTGCTAAACTATCTATGAATCATAAACTACCTGAATCTAGTGGTAAATATTTTAATTGTATTATTTAAAAAGGAATTTAGTGCCATTATATTGTAAATATAAATATCTTTCTTAGAAATATAAAAATTATCTTGGTTTTTTTTTTATGAAATAGGCAACAATAGACCTCAAATGTCAAGATCTTTACTAAAAATATTTATGCATATTTATATGAAAAGCTGTTAAATAAGAGAAAGATTACGCTATGAGATACTGTGAAAATCTGGCATACAAGAACAGCTACCAAAGTTAAAACTCCTGATTTTTCATAGACTGAGAGGTTTTGTTTCATAGACTGAGAGTGAATGTGATACCATGCCCTGGGTAAAGCACCCATATTTTTCTAACATTTTAAATTTAATTTCTAATGCCATGTTTTATGTCTGTTCATACAGGGCATAAAGTTTATCCTTTAACACTATTTGCTCCCAAAGTTGAGTGAAATTATTGAGGATAACACACCTAGGTAGCAAGTGAAATTCGGTGCAGAAGTATGCAGTTCTTCAGTGAACGCGAAGCCATCATAATCAGAAAGCCAGGAGATGCGAGCAAAGAGGGGAGGCTGAGAGTCCTAGAGCTGCGTGACAGGCGCATCGCGGGCGTGCATGAGAGTGGGGGGTGAGGAATTTGCAAGTGGCAGTGGGGATCTGGGGGAATGCACAGCCTACCTCTGCAGCTCCACAGACACAGGAGCCCCCCCACTTGCCAGTGTTCAGGAGGATCTGTGAGGGAAGGTTCTGGTGACACGCGGAGATGACAGTGTCTCTCACACGAGCCTCTTCTTCCCTATTCTCAGGGCTGCCCTCCTGTTTCTCACCCCCATTTCCTCTCACCCTGGATACTGCAGGAACCTCCTGTGTGGCTTCTTCTGCCTCTCTTCTGCCTGCCCAAGTCATTCATTCTGACCACAGCTCTGATTTGCTCTCTCCTTAGTTCACAAACCTTCCTGGGATCTGTGCTGGCTGTGGGATGCTTGGTTTGAAATCGTTAGCCTGGAAGTTCAGGTCGCTCTGCTGTGCTGTCTGTGCCTTTACTGGTCTCTGTGCCTTTTGTCATACAAATTGCACCTGGAATTGTCTCCATTTTCTCCCTACCTCATCTTCCTGTGTTTGTAAACCCCATGTCTCCTTTAGAAGGATCTTTCTCCCAAATGCTTCCTGTTGTTCTTTTCTCTCTAGAATTCACTTCTCCCTCTCCTAATACACTACATAACTTTACCTGTACTTCACTTTGTCCAGTCAATGAAAATTATGTCTGTACCTCTCTGTTCCCTAATGGATTGTCGGTTCTCCAAGGCCTTAGCTCCAGGCTCTCAGAGTCTAGCATGGAGTCAGTAAATATTTAGTAAGTAAGGGAATGACTACCAGGGAACGCTCAGAAATGCCACCTCTCTCCCTCCTCTCTGACCATCTGAATCCTACTCCACCCCCAAATGATGTACCCGCTCTTTGCCCCATGCTTGCCCCAGTCAGGGGGCAAGGAGACATGAGGTCATATATGTGGCCTCCGTTCCTCGAGTGGACTCTAGCTCTCTCAGCTCCGGTGCTTCTGTTGCAGGCAACCCCAGGCCTGGGCCTCTCCTCATCACCTGTCCTAACTCCAGCTCTCCTTTGCCACTTCCACCCTCATGTCATCAAAGAATTAGAATAACCTTGGTGTGGTGTTGCTTGGAAACACACTTGTATATTTCTTCAACCCATTGTACATGAAAACGAACTTTGCTCCCATCCCTCCATCTTACGGACCTCCCATGATAGCTAGGTATAAAAAATAGGCTTGAGAGGAATGAACTTCTTTACTTTGTATTTCTTACTAACAACAAAAGTATTTTTTATAAAACTTTTTTCACATATATACGAAAGTTGCTATTTTCTGTTCCATTCTGGGCCAGGGAAATGGTGGTGAGCGAGCAGGCAGATGGATCCTTGGGGACTAAGGAAGAAAAGAAGGATCCTGAATGGGAGTGTGGCAGAAGATTCTTGCTCCCTTGAGGCGTTTTATGCCCTGGTCCCTGTTAGAAAGCTACTACTTGCAGCCTCTGCCTCAGCCATAGGGACCCACCAGTGGCCTAGAGCTCAGGAAACACCAACAGCATTGGCAGAAATATGTTCCTGACATTCCACGTTCAAACCCTGAATGCATTTGGCCATGGAAATATTGTTGCACATGATGGTTAAAGTCTACAGTATTATTAATACTTTATCTTCACTTTAAAAAAGGTGTAAAAGGCTTTCAGTGGGTTGGCCCATGAACCTACTCTCTATTTATAAAATAGCTTCAACAGACAAAACTGTTCAGCGTTCCCAACTAACTTACTCAAAGACTTTAGGAACACAGCTAAGTTGGAGTAATAGTACCTTTTATTTGTATGACTATGTAATTGTATGTTCATTTCTTGTATTTTGCATATTTATCTCTATTCCATATTCTACTTCGTGTGTTCTCAGGGAGTAATGACGTTTCTCCTATGAGTTTCCCTTCAGTGATGGAAACATGTGACAGGGACAACTGCTCCCACACGATACCAGCTTCAAATACAGGTCTGTAAAAACAGCTCCAGTACAGTATGAACTTGATACTTCTGCAGATATGTTTATTTGATAAATGTTACTACCGTTTAGAGAGTTGCTTAGGAATTTCGTGGTGGTTTGAAATAGAAGAATGGGGAGTAAGAGAACCAAAAAGTTTCAAACCAGACAAAGGATTCCCATATCTGCCATTTTGTATTCCCATCCTGTTTCTTACATTATTTCTATTCACGAGAATTTATCAAATTTATCCTGTGGTATGTGCTATTAAAAATCCTGTTACCATATTGCAAAGCCATGCCACACTAAACAAGACCCTTTTAATTGTATAGGCTTTAACAAAGAATCTGGAAATGCATGGGCTAAGAATTCAAAAGTCTGGGTTATAATTCCGGACTTGCCTGTGTTTTAGATATATTATGCAAATATCCTGGACTTTCTTCAGATGGCTGTCCACAGAGGAGGGAGGGAGGAAAGAATGGAGGGAGAGAAGGATAGACAGAGAGACTGTGGTACTTTCCCCGATTCTGAAGAGCAAATGGAATCATGCATATAAAAAGAATTTTTAAACCCTAATTGTTCAATGGTTTAGAAACTATAGCAAATGTGAAATTTAATGAACTGTGGAAGGAATTAGTGATCTGTTTCCAGAAGTAGCAGCAATTTAGGGAGTATATGACTTTAAATATTTGAAGTTTTATCTGTAAAAAAAGGAGTGGATTTATTGGGTTGTCAGAAAAGTCATGACGTATTTTTTCTATGTTTTTTGTTGCAAAAATGCATCATGACTTTTCCGAAAACCCAATAGTCTGTGTTATGTAGACGAAGGACAAAATTGGACTCAGGGAAGATGAGGGAAAAATGACTTAAGCGCACTGTAAGGATGGATTTCCCCACTTCCATCTGGGGACATGCTGTTTGTCTGACGGTTGTAAAGGATAGGGCCTTCTTTCCTAAGTTGCCTTTTTTCCTTGAGATGTTGAACTGTTGCTTGAGAAACAATGGAGAGTCCCTTCCACTGACTAAATGTTTCATACTTTATGACCTAGAGGGAGAAATAAACACATGAATACATCCTTCCCCAATGTCCTACCAGCTATAGCCGCTGTGAGCAGCTGCCACCGAGAATTTCCTCCTCCCTTACCTCCTGGGTACCCACTCAAGGCTTCCAAACCAGAAACCAGTTCATTCTCTGTTTCTGCGGCTTTATTGTGCTCTGCAGCTTCTAGAGTCCTGTTGCATGCATCCGGCAGTTTAAACACCTCCAGTTTCTTCAGCCTTCCTCACATCTTACAGCTCTCAGTCTTGATGTACCACTCCAAGGGGAGAAGTTGAGTGGCACTGTCTTATTCTAGATAGCGTCACTACACGCTTGATCCGTATGTGGCTGACTCTTGGTGAACATGCCCTTCTTCACTGGTTCAGCTGTCAAGCCATAAATGCCTACCTTGTACTCACATAATTGGGAGCTTGGGATTTCAAGTGTAAAACCATGCATTTATTTCAATATATTTCTGCCAACCCATAATCCAAGGGCTAGCCTAGTTTGTCTTGTGAATAGGAGTTTTTTGACCAGATAATCTCCAGGTTTCAGACCCTTCCTGTTCTAAGTGCCATGAGGCTCAAGGTATCTTTATGGATCCTGATTCTGTTAAGCAATATATATATATATATCCTGTCTTGTGTCAGCCCCAGGTTTGATCAGCTCTAGAGCAGGGATGGCAGACTGTGGTCCATGGGGAAATATGACATGCCACCTCTTTTTATACAGCCCTCAGGCCAAGAATAGTTGTAATATTTTTTTAAGTTTTTTTTTCCTTTAAACAAAAGTATGCATTGGAGACTATATGTGGTCCATATTTGTCACATGGCTCTTTACAGGGAAAAAAAAAAAGCCAATCTCTGCTCTAAAAGATTTTCATTAAAGGTGCTAGGAATGTTGCCTAGGACAGTGCTAAGGACAGAGTTCTTTAGCATGCTTCTAGAAACATGCTTTAACATTGACATAGTCAGGTTTCATGCAATTCTTCAACCACATAGGAATTTGTCTTAAATAAACTATCATTTAGCCCATGTTTCTCCATCTTTAAAAAAATATCACGAAACTCCTTCTCAAAGCCTCCTTGCCAAAGCCCAGATGCATAATGTCTGCCACATCCCCAATTTGAGGTTAGTCTGAACCCATACTGGCTTCCCTTGATCCTGACTCTTTCCCACACAATCCCTTTAATGATCCACTTCGATATGTTATCTTGGGGACAAGCATCAAGCTTATTTGTCAGCAGCTCGCAGAATCTGTCACAATCTCTAATTCAGGTCTACGGATATCCTCTCTTATCATTATCCATGATTTTTAAAAGAAATCACAGCTATTTCAAAAACTTAGATATACCGTATTTCCCCATGTATAAGATTCACCTTAATTTTGGGGCCTGAAATTTGAAAAAAAATGTATTACATAAAGTTATTGAACTCAAGTTTTAATCATCATAAAATTCATACAACTCCTCATCACTGAAAACTCCCAACCATTAGCTTGTCCTCATCTGTGTCTGATGACGAATCACCCAGTTGCCCTTTGCTCTTCAATCCATATCTTCAATTCCCTCTCTGAATCTGGCCATTTCGCTGACTTGCCTCTCATGGCCTTCTTCTGCCATGGCGTTTTCAGTAGGGTTTCTTCTTCCTGTAGCCAGTCTCAGATTGTTTTCTCAGTTGGGGGAGGACCAAACTTACGTTCAGCAGCACGATTTCCATTCACTTTTGCAAACTGGATCACTTTTAACTTGAATTCAGCACTGTACAAAAATCTTTTCTGAGCCACTTCTGGTCAGAACGTGGCAAAACATAACCTACCGTAATATACGGGTAACAAGTGCGAAACAATGAGCGCAAAGACAAGTGCAAAAAAGCGGGAAATGCAAGTAAAAAAATCTACAGCCACTGTATAAGATGCACCCAGTTTTTAGACCCCAATTTTTTGAAAAAGGGTGCGTCTTATACATGGGGAAATACGGAAGTTCAAATAACTGGGTAAAATTAAATAGCTCAGTAAAATTAAATAGCTCTTAGGATCTTTTAGCCACCTTAAACTTCAGTTCATTGTCACCAGTAACTATCTTCTTTTCAAGTCCACATTCTTTTTCCTTAACATAAAATGAAAAATAATGTTAAAAAATTTACTTTCTTGTTAGCACAGATATTTTAACAACATGGCCCCAAAGTATTGTATATAGTAACCCTATTCCTGCTTTGTTCTTCTATTGCTGAATATGACTTTAAAATTACTTCCTTTATTTTAAAGCACATACACTTTAACTATGGTTTGATTTTAAGAACAGAATATTACTTTGCCAGTCAACCAACGACAAAGCTAGTTAGTGTTCCTCCTGTCAGAGTCTAGAAAGATGGCTGACCCCAGGGGCCCAGCACAAGCAGCGGAGCTGGTGGTGCTCATCCACAGCATGGTAGCTGGAAGCTCTTAAGTACAGTGACGTAACCACCAGAGCACAATCTCCTAGAGTGGGATCTTCCAGACCATACATGGTGTGAGCATATCCCAGGTTGTGGCTGCCCAGCTCTGTGCAATTCTGTAAATGTTAGACTTTCTGCAATTCCCCAGGCATTGCTGATACTCATCCAGGCATTCTGTTGTCATTGTTTCAAATGCTGTTACT